AGGGGAATATGAGATGACGGAGCAGCGGGGGCTATTTCGTTGCACTTCTTGCAAGACGTCGAGGGTCCACATCAGATATAGAAAAGCTATAGAAAGGCCAATGGCTGGGCATCAGTTTCAGCTGTTCTCATATATTTACGAAATGCCCAGCGATGGACGTAGCTGTTCTCATATATTTACAAAATGCCCAGCGATGGACATCGGAAATGTCGACATTTTCCGACGTCCCCATTAAAAAAATGGGGACGTCGGAAAATGTCGACATTTCCCGGATGCCCAGCCATTTTCCGATGGACGTCCATCGCTGGGCATTTCGTAAATATATGAGAACAGCTATAGAAAGGGCAATAGCTGGGCGTCGGTTTCAGCTGTTCTCATATATTTACAAAATGCCCAGCTATCTATATCTGACGTGGGACCACAAAAACGACGAAAGCAAAAAGGCTAATCGTATCTTAAAGTCTACTTTATTTGCGCCATGACTTGATCGTCGAGGGTCGTACTCATAGCACCCATTCGAACCCAAGATTACCTTCTCTATTTTTCTTTTGTTCTTTTTGTTAATCTATCCAGATTTCTATACACGTAATTTCTAATGACGGAGGCCCTCAGAGCAGATAACATGTACTTAGAGGCATATTCAGTCATTGTAGATCCATCAAAAAGAAAGATTTATTGCTAATAGTCATTAATCCTTTTGTTTTTCTTTTGGACGCGGAATTTTTATCCCATATAATGGTATCTCAACATATCTCAACCGTCAATAAATACTTTATTTACATGCATCCACGGTTGAGAATTGGTTAAAATGCCAATGGAAGCACCTTCGAAGTAGAGGATCTTCATCCTCCTTTGTTATTTACGTTGGAAAAGTTTCATGATATTAATTTGGTAAATTAGTTTAGGTAAAACTCATGGCCAGAGTAATCCCTCTCCATAAGTTTTAGTACCTTTACAACTGCTTACTTATGTGAGAAAAAAGAATTACACTTAAGCTCCATTTATTTCAGGAAAAATGAATAATTTGAAAAATATTTTCTTAAAAATGATCGCTTGTATCGCTTATAAAAAGAAATAAACGAAAAATATTTTTATTGCTCACGAAGATATTTAGACATAAATTGTCAAGGATATTTCTAAAATCTCAAACTTTGAAAAAATGCGAAGAAGCGTCTATCCCATGCATGAAGAGACCTCACATTCACTAGCCACTATCCCATGCGCGAAGAGACTGCAGATTAACTTTGTTGCTTTCTTTTGTTAAGATAAACTCTTTCTTCAATTTTGGCCTAGAGAACAGCACAAATTTCAAATAAGGATATGAACTGAATTTATTTTCTCAAAAAATGATTCAAAGTGAATTTTATCTCTATTAAGGACCTGAAGTGGCCAATCAATCTTAAATAAAGGCCTAAACTCACTAGTCGACTAAATGTTTGCCGGTAAACATTTTCTAGAAACTAGAATAGGAGCAATTTTGTACGAAATTTGCAATTTAGTAAACAATAAGAAAGTCCCCAACTTGAATTAGAATTAGGGATCTTACTTCAATTTTTCACGTTTTCTTCTTCCTCTTCGCCCTATCCTCAATCGTTTCGCGCTCGGTCCTCGCCCGATCCTCGTCTCTCGCCACGAGCTTCAGTCCGTTGTCCGCCGTCATCTCTTCTCTCCCAAGTTCCGTCATTGCAAGCTTCAAGTCTGTCATCCCGAGCTTCAAGTCCGTCGTCCTTGAGTTAAAGTCCTTTAGTGCCGCTTTTGCTCTGGTGCACATTTTATTCTTCAGTGCCGCTCAGCTGAAGGAATTTGGTGCTACATGAGGATCCAATGGTTGCTTTTCATGAACTCCGTCAGTGGCGGGAGGCATGGGGCTGAGCTCAAGCTCCACCTTCACCGACTAATCGCCGAAGAACAGGTATGAGAGATGTGGCAGTTGGTGTTTAGTTGAATATAATCGTGCGATTTATCTTTGCGTAGTTAAGCATGCGCTCGAGCGCTCTAGCTTCATATGGTAGTAACTGTATAAGGGTACTAGTTCACGGTGGCGTCCATCGACAAGATCGGAGGGTTCGCAATACAATCGATGGGATTCTTCTTCGTGACAGTGTTCGTGTTCGCTTAGGCCATCCCTTACCAGTTACCACCACTGGACCTTGCCGGACGATCGAATGGGGTTTGGGATCATGTGCGCGCTCACCTTCTTCTTAAGTGTTTGATCTTCTTTTGACATTCGTTTATTCTGACATGCGCTTTTTCTCCTATTTCTTATTAACGTCACTAATTTTTTACATTATTTCTTTATGGGCTTGTTATCCACCGGGCATTGGAAATAACCCAGTAAAAATATCTATCAAACCGGACAGAAGAAATGAGGCCGAAAGCTTAAAATTATAATTTTGCTAAAAAAGATGTATAATGGGAATTCTTTTGATACTCGTATAATAGAAAAATTAAGAAATTAGAGTTTAAGTACTATCACCTTCATCACAATTTTGATTTTTATTTTCTAAAGTATATGGTTTTCTTTAATACGTGTTATATTCTTTAAATGATATTTCCCTTTAATCATAATGGCTAAGTTAAAACTCAAGGTCATCTCTTTCTATTCATTATTTAAATTCTATTTGAATTATGTGATTCAAAACATAAGTTGTTGAACACATCTCTTATGAGCTTATATAAAAAAATTCAAACATCTCTTCCTCTCCATTATTTAAATTCCATTTGAATAAATTAAAGCTTATGAGCTTCTCTCTTATCTATTTTTTTATAATAAAATTCAAATTGAGTGGAGTTTAGATAAAAATTATTTCCATTTTTATTTTCTTATAAATGTACTTATTTTGATAGATATAAACTATATTTAAGTAAGTGGATTTCCAACGAAGAAAATAAAAATCAGCATAACCTGAATATGTATGTTTCAAATAAATCTAGATGTATACTCATTTTCTCAAATTTTTGCTGAGTTAAATAGACTACATCATTTATTTCATTATGTTATGCTGAACTAAGGACTATATCATTTAAATAAAAATTTTATCATTCAAGAATGTCCTTATTTGAAAAAATGATGGTATTTCAGGCTCTTACTCGAGACAAGGTCCACTTCAGGCATTTATTTGAGAAAATGATGACACTTCATTCAAGAATGTAATTCGTTGTTTAATAAGTTTTACTTAACGAAACAAATTATGCGATTCATTTCATTATCAGTTAAATATATTTGATTTAATTAAATAAAAGGTATATCATTTAAATAAAAAAATTATATCATTTAAGAATATAGTAAGAAATTACGTTTGAAACAAACTGTATGTTTGAGAACATATTTGAGATACTTCTCCATATCTATCTTTTAAAATTTTTAAATCAATAAAATATAGATGGCTAAAGATGATAATCGATAAACTAATTATCATTGGTCGAATGTGGCAATGAGACTAAATTATGCAATGTGTCTTACCATGTACCTACATTATTTTAAAAGTTAGATGTTTGGCAATACCATGCCCTGTGTCTTGCCATATAATATAACTCATTATTTTTTATTATGTTAATTTCATTTCGTATTTATCTCAAATGGATGGAGAAATAGGAAATAAAACAAAATAACTATCAACAAGTGACACATAATTATTATTCATCATGTAAATGTTTATGTAATTAATTAAATTGTATTATTAAATCAAGCGAATTAAATATAATATTGTCACTGAATGTAGTAGATAAACTTTATATCATGCTTGCTTTAATTGGGAAGCTCTATTCTTTCGTATATTACTATTTTACTTTAAAAGTTATATCTTTTAAAATTTTTACTTAATTAATATTATTATCATCATCAAACGAAGCAAGTTATTGGTTACTAAATCTTAAACTACGAGTTCAAAGGGAAAATTCCAAACAAAGGTCGGAAGTGCCCTCATTTTTTTAAATAAGAGTCTGAAATGAATTTTGTCTAGAATAAAAGCATGAAATGCCCTCATTTTCTGAAATAAGAACTTGAAGTGAACCTTGTCTTAAATAGGGATCTGAAGTGGCTATATCAGTCTCGAAAAAAGGTTTGACCTCATCGGTTGGTAAGGGCATTTTCATCTTTTATCATTTTTTTTATTTTTCTTTCTTTTTTCCTTTTTATGTATTTTATTTCCATAAAAAACAAAATAAAAAAGGATAAAAAAAAACACACATACAAGCCCTCCGCCCCATTGCCGGTGGGGCAACGACGATGGCAAGTAGGGTAACCGACAACCCTTGCCTGCCATCGCCACCGCCCCACCGGTGATGGGGCGATGGTCACAGGCTAGCTAGTTAGCCCTCTTGCCTGTAATTTTTTTTATAAATTTTTTTTGATCTTTTTTAATTTTTAATCTAATTTAAGTAAAATTTTATTTGGACGAAAATGCCCTTAACTAGCTGGCGAGGTTAGGCCTCCCCCTTTTTTTTTTTAAAGTTTTGGCCCTATTATAGCTACTTCAAGCCATTATTTAAGAAAATGAGAGCATTTCATGTCCTTATTTAAAACAAGGTCCACTTCATGCCTTTTTTGAGAAAATGATGACACTTCAAGCTCTTAATTGGAATTTTTCCTAGTTTAAATGGTTCCACATTGATTTTCTTTGGCCAACTGCCAAAAAAAGAACAAGTACTGTCTCAAACAATGACAAAAACTATAAGATACATATTGTTTTTATCTTTTCAAAGAACACGGAGAAGTTCGCATTTATATTATGATAAAATCTAAGGATGTTGTTATTACGAATCAACTATATCATAAAAGATATAACTAATTTGATTATATATATTATAGATATATTATCTTTGATAATAAAATTTCGTTAGTATTTCACGTTATCTGATAATAATAAATATAAAAAACCAACATACTCACCTGGGTAAACATCGGTAATATAAAATCGTATATGAGGCGCAAAAATTGATAATTAACGTGTTATATCATTAATTCCCCGATCCAAAGACCAAATCTCTCCTTCTTCTTCCAATCCCGCCAATTTTTCAGCGGCCGCCTCATAAAATTCTTTACCGTCATCAGTGCAGAGAGAGAGAGAGGGGGAAGCGACGGAAGAGCTCAAGAGATGGGAGTTCACCCTGAGCGGCAACGCCTTGAAGACCTTGGCTCGCTCCATCGCTTGCCTCTCCCGCATCGGCAACGACCTCGCTATCCAAGCTTCTCCCTCCCAGGTCATTCGATTTCTTCTTCTTCTTCTCCGTCTCCGTCTCTCTCCCCCGCAGCTCCGGTCGAAAAGTTCGCGCGTCGCCGCTGAAATCCATGCCGATCGTTCCTCGGCTTCATCCATCGAGTGAAAAAGCTGAGTAGTTGCTTCTTCGTGCGCCCTGACGAGCGATGCTTAGTTTGGATGATGCTATGCTGTTGTTAGGTATTTGGCTCGTTTCGCTCGATTCAGTGTCCGATTGACAAATTTCAGAGTCCTTCCACCGATTGCCGAGCGACTGGAGCTTTTGGCGGTGGATTTGAGGCAGAAATTTGTTGACCTAGGTTGCGATTGGCCCCGTCGACGATGATTAGAACTTGACGTGCATAAAAATCTGAAGTGACTAAAAGAATCTAATTCCGTTGATAGGATGATTCAAAGTCATTATATCGTAAGACTAAGGCAATTCATTGCTGAAGCCAGGACAACTATCAGTGGTACTCGCGGAAAATGTCAGAATGGCGGAAACCATAGGAGAAAAACCCTATGCATAACCTTCTATGGGTGCTGCTATTCTGTCTTGCTGGTTTGTCTAGTTTCTTTGATGGTATTATATGGAGTTTTGCAACACTGAATAAGTGAAAAACACAATTGCGCTCCCTAGCATATCTCTTACGTGACCATACTTTGCATGACTTCCTTTTGCCTCGTCGCCTTTAACTACCAAACAACAATATAAGTTCCAAGTTCTAGGCTCATGTTTGGCACTTGGCACCATTTGATTTGAAATTAGAATAGAAATAGTATTGATCTGTGTACAAATATCACCTTCTTACTTGTATATATATCATATCAAGATTCTCATATTCGTATTCAACCTCCAACTTTCCTTTCATGCACTCAATTCGTCAAGATCTGCCTATCAGTTGATTACCCTCAAGCCAGACCTCTTTGATGTGTTTACAGTATCTGGCGCACAAGTTCAATTGAGTATTCTTTTGAAGGTATGATGACATTGCTCATCTTTGTGGTATAATTTGTCAGTTTATAGTTGTAAGCAACTTACAAATTAATCTGTGCAAGCAGTCTTTTCAGTCCTCTGAACACCTATTACAAATATTGGTTATCAAAGTGTGTAATTACCAGACATGCATCAAAGGTTCAATGGACTCTGCAGCGCTTCAATGGTAAAGACCTTTCAGTTGTATGCACAGTGCTCTGAATGTGTTATGTTGGAAATGGTGTATTTGATGGTTAAGATTTGAAACTTATGGGCATAGATGGAAGGGTTAGAGGATTCCTTTTTCCCCTAAAAATAATCTCGCTCCAATTCTATGGAAAAAACGAGCAGCAAATGAAGTCTTGAAACTGACACGTTCATTGAGAGAAAATGACTGCAAAGTGCTGTGATGAGCATTAATAAGTCATATCATATGAGTCCACCAAGATTAGCTTCTCTAATTTTTCATCACGCAAAAGCAGCGTGAACTCTGTCTAATGGATTTTGCAGCGCACCAATATGACCTATAAAGCCAACGGATTCAGAATAAAGAGATGGCGGGAACTTATTATTTATTAGATTCCATGTGTACGACTTTTACTTCTTTTTGTTGGCCACTTACCATTTTAAGTCTTTGACTCAATCATGCTAACTACATATCATTCTGTATGTTTTCTAACTACAATATAATTGGAGGTTGTCAAACCTGCATTAATTTGATAAGAAGCTGTACCATGCAGAGAGACTTGTTTATCTCACCACGCAAACTGTGAGTTTTTGTTCATGCATATGTGATGAGGTTTAAACCAAGTTCTTGTCACATGTATGCAGGAATTAAGAAAACATACTGGATTACTTGCAATGTTGACCCTGACGTACATCAATTATCTCCGGATAGGAGACAATACCCAAGCAATTTTGTAGTGAGGCCTCATGATCTGAACAGATTGCTTGCAAATTCAGTCATCCCTTCAGGAAATCACTATCATTGCAACTGAATGCAACTCCAAACCTTCTGATGCTGCAAGTGAATTTGGTGGGAAATCTGTTGAGTTCCAAAGCTACATCAATCCTACCAAATGTAGACATGAACTATATTCTTTTCAACCGAATATGGCAAAGAACATCATGGTTCAGATTCTGGTTGCCAAAAACGACTCTTTACTGCACACTCAGCTGTGGATAGACCCTGCGGAAGAGTTTGTGCAGTATGCTCATAGTGGTAACCCAGTGGACTTGACTTTTGCTGTCAAAGAGTTGAAGGTATTCGATCTGATTTGTTTTTTATTATATCAGATAGCAAGATATTTGGGTCATAAATGCAGCTAAAAGTTCTTGAACATATGACTTCACCCTCAAACTTATCTCCATTTCCTTAAAATGAGTCCACCTAATTGCCAAAATGCTATTGGAGTCACATTCAGGACCATCTTTTATGTTGAAGTTTTTCCTTGCGTTTTCTAGTGAACATGATAATTTTTAACCTTTGTCCATCTCTTGGAAATCGAGGCATTTCTTGCATTCTGTGAGGAATGTGAAGTGGACATTCATTTGTACTTTGAGAAGGTCGGCGAGTAAGTAAATTCTTAGTGCTCTTTTGTATCTTACCTTCTACCCATTTTTTTTTCCATGCTTCACTTCAATTTTGTTATGCAAGTAGCTCAGATGCAACGAGCAGTTTTCATGCAATCAATCCATAACTGGTTTTGTAGATGAATGATTGCTAGTTATCTGCTCAAAGATCTAAAACATGCTAATGCATAGCTTCACAATCAAAATCGTAAAGGCCCATGACAATTTGGGCTAAATGTCAAAAAACAAGAGACTATCATTGAAAAGTTGATCGACATAACATAGTGCACCTTCGAATCGAGTTTAAATAATAGTAGTGTAAGGAGGTTTAAGTTCGGATGGTAAATGGTTTTTTTATCAAGTTTAATGCAAGATGCTAGTAGAGTATGCCAGCTAAAATTATCAGTGCAAAACTTGATGGTTAATGCGTGTCTTTTGACTTTTCTTTTTGGTACTAAATTCTTGGTTTCAAGTGCAACATCTCTGCCATCACAGAGGGGCGTAAGTACAACTAAATGTAAAATAGAAAAAAGAAATGAACTTGATACAACTGCATGTTTTTATGAAACAGGCCTATTTTGATGGCCCCTAAATTCGGCATTGATGAAGGGGCCTCTTCCAATTTTGATGCTGCACTTGTAGTGGCCACCATTCTCACATCAGAATTACAAGAAGGTAATACTGGACCTTCAGCAAATGAAATGCTGGGCCAGGCTGATACTGGGGAAGCTTCTGGATAATCCCTCTAAAACTATTTTCTTCGTCCTTTGGTTGTGTAGATGGACATGGTTTTTCACGACGTCATCGAAGTAATTGGGTTGATGCCAATGAGGATGAGAATGAGGATGATGATAACGAGGATGGTGTTGACTCTGCGTTCAATCAACACTGCCATATTATGAAGATCGATAGCATTATGTTTCCTGTTTAACTATGATAGCATTATGTTTCTTTTCTCGTTTTTCACCTACTTGACTTTACGTTAGTGCTCGTGCCTATTTAGCTAGTCCAGCATGCAATTAAAGCTGCCATTTTAACGCGCTTCTTTTTCCCCCTCTCTTTTGTTTTTCAGTATTAAGTTGATGTGCTTTGCTGAAGGAGGTGTCGGTATGGGTATGTTTCTACACTCGTATTCTATCATAACTCGTTCCTGGCTTCCTGCCAAGAAAAACAGAGCAGCGCCAATAGATCCTACAGAATCACATGCTTTATGGACAGGACCTGCTGTTTAGAACTATTGGAGATGGTGTTGAAGTTGCTTGTAGTTTTTTCATTTGTACTAACCTAAATAGATCCCTTGCCGTAGAAAGCTTTTCTGCTTTGTCTTTTGGAAACCATTATAAGTTAATCTGTGTATATTAAAAAGGAACGGGTCAAATGGTTTTAGAGATGTTTGTGTTCCTTTCTTAAAATCACATTCCAGAATGATTACCAGAATGATTCCGCCATTTTTAAACTCCAACCAATTAAGTTTAACTTTTCCTTGTCAGTTGCTTCCATTATGTATACTCAAAGGTGGCAAATTTCTGGTGTTCTAATTTGTGGCAATGATTTCTGCTGAGGTAATTTGTGACAGTGTCAAGGTATCATAAAATTTACTTGAGGCTCGGATAAGGAGTTTGTTCTGCAGAATAAGTCCCTCCACGTAAATTTCAGGAGAGCAAGTCCTTGTGTCTGAGTTTTTCCTCTTCACACATTTTGGGTCTTGGCATCATGTCGTTTTATGTTGCATTTGTCACCTCCACCTACGGTCATTCATCCACGGACTTCAACCTTCAGGGCAAATGTCTTGATGTTTGTTCAGTTTAATTCTCATATATCTGCACATGAAATCTGACATCTATCCTTTCATGTTGCCCATGACCTTTAGAGTCCGGGACCGATTAGCACTTATTTAGGGTGTCACGTTCATGATCAAAGATATTTGATTTCTCTGGCTGCAAAGACATTTTTGTCCACATGCACGAGTGTATTCTTTTTATAGTAGGGAAAAAAAAGCAACTTTTTTTGCATGGATTTGAGGACATAAATCTCAATCGGCTTGATTCGTGTGCTAATACCATGTGATGACGTAAAATACATAACATGCACAAATGGCCGTCGTTATTCGGCCATTTACTAGGCATGAGTACCTTGTTACATTGGCAAGTATTGTATAAATGAATTTACTGAGTAATGTTGGTAAATCGGTCTTAAAAAACAACTATAGTGATAAAATCATAGCTTTGGTGTTATCTTATCGCGTAAGTGAACGGGCAGGTTATGAATCAAGCTTGTACTTGTCCAACCTACCTTACGTATGTAGTTCGATGTCCATTTAGCTAGCTTAGTTTAAATTTTGTTGTATAGAGATTGCTGAGTTTGTACATGAGGAATGAGCTACAAACTATATCAAACTCGCAATACGATGTATCCAAAAATGAAATAATAGTGAATGGAGATCATGTGATTCTTTCCAATGTACTCATCATTTCCCCTGTTTCTCTCTAGCTCAAAACAAAAAAAAACTGACCAGTTTCTCCATCATCATTTCTCAATCATAAATTGCACCACGATCTTAAGTAAAACTACCATCATCATCCTATATCCTGCTTTGAATGCAATAATAGAACACGAGGTGAAAGTCCGAGCCAGCATTGACAAAAAGCAATCAATTCTTAACTTTTGACTCATGTAAGCAAGACATGTATCGACAATTGAGACACTTATGACTTATGAGATTATCTTGTGGGACTAAGAACCGCATCCAAGAAAAAGGGGTTGATAACTATTGATAAAGATCTTACTTTTGATAGATTTAAAACCACTTGATATGTCCTTAATTACATTGTTTGCTTCAAGAGTTTGACTCACTCAGAACATTGAGAATAAAAATCTGAATATATTAACAAATACAGAAAAGGAATAGAGGACTAATCTTCGGGTACAAATTGGTGTTCAATTGTTTTGTGGAAAATTTGACATTTCTGAAAAATATTTTGCAAGTAATTTGAAAAGGCAAACTTGCTTTTAATTTTTTAAATAGACATGCACTATGCGGGCGTTAATAACTAGGGCATGGGCAGCCAAGGAATCAGGCACGGGCCCATAGAAGTCAACCCAAGATCCCAATGCCCATGCGCAGCTCCCTGGCACCCCAGGCTGGGTCCATCGAGACCGGGCTTAGGTCCATAGTGGTCAGGCCTGGACTCCGGCACCCATGCTTGGGTCCTCGGCACCTAAGTCCCAGTTCATGGAGGTTAGGCACGAGTCCATAGAGGTCGGGCTCGGGACCTCAATGCACGTGCCTATGTTCTCGGTGATAGAGCCTACATCCATTAAGGCTGGCCCTAGACACCCATGCTTACTGCCGGGCCTAACCTTTGTGGACCCGAGCTTGGCCTCGATGGACTCAGGCTGGGCACCAAGGATTTGGGCATGGGCACAGGGGTATTGGGCCCGGGCATTGAGGAACCGGAAACGAGCACCGAGATCCTAGGTGCAACCTCAATGGACCCAGCCTTGGCCCTCTACTAAAGGACCCGAGAACGGGTGTTGAGGTTTCTGTGCGCAAGTCTCTGGCTTGATATCTAGTCATATTTCAGAAAATAATTTTTGAATTTTTAAAGAGAAAATCATTTTTCTGAATTTAAGCATAGGTTTTCCATTGGCTTGGAAAAAGAATATTTCGTTGACTAATTTTCCTAAACCATCCAAATGCCCAAAAATGAGAAAAATGCTATCTTAGAAAAAAAAAGTTTTGCAAAACAAACAAAGCCTATTTCCAATAAGCATAGAAAGAGAGGATGGAGATTGTCGTTTCAATCAATTCTCAACAATGATAAATATAAATGAAGTATATATCAACGGTTGAGATATGTTGAGACATTTATGAACTTTGGAAGTATTTCTTGGAATAAAGAATCCATGTCCAAATGTGACGTCGGCATCTCCCTTTTTTCGAAATGAGAAAAAAAAAATCCACGTTCAAAAGGGATAAAGAAGCCCCAAGAAGCTTGAAACCTCGGATCTTTGATCGAACGAATGGATCGACGAAGGAATGAGGCGAGAGAGAGAAAGACGGGTTTTTATTTATATGAGAATAGGGTTGAAGTTGAAGTTGGTGCCACGTGTCAGAGGTTGAGTGGCATGCCAGCTCAGTAGAGCGAGAGGGGAGCTTGGAGGGCTGGTGATGTAAACGCTTACGTCAGCTAAACTGGCCATTTCTCCAAGTCGGCTTAGCTTGCCACCTGGAGATTATTGAGTGGCTGTGATGTGGTCTGGTGCCCTTTTTCTCTCCTCTTCCTATAATCCTGTGTAAGCTCTTGTAGATGTTGAGTGCTAAGCCCCTGGTAAAAAAAAATTTACGCCGTAGATTCCGCCACGATGAATAAAACAAATCACGGTACAACGTAATGTTATTTTTACGAACATCGGCCAAATATCAAAATGATTTATATTTATTGCTTTGTCGATTGCAACGCATTTGTATTTGAGGAGTTTCATGGGTTGTAATTTACGGCAAGCATATGTTAAGGTAAAAACAGGCTTTAGTTGAAAGTTTCTTGGAGATGGATTTACTAATTTTGATTTGGATCATTTTTTCGAATCTTAATTTTGAGAGGTCCAACGTCGACCCTATTGAAATGCGAACATTGGCTCAATAAGTAGTTATGTTTCCTTCTAATTATTGAGAAAACTATTTCCTAATTTTTTTTCTGAATTTATTTAATGTGGTAGCTGGTAATACTTACCACAGAAAGAGTTTAACGTATTACAAAACTATTTTCTTTGATCAATGGATGAGATATGTTAAGATACTCATGACCTATCGAAGCATCTTGTGAAAAAAGAATTCGTCCACAAAAAAGGTCTATGACTATCAACAATAGATCTTGCTTTTCGATAAATTTAGTGTCACTAAATATGTCACTATTTACATTGTCCGTTCCAAGAGTTCGAGTCACTAAGAATGGCAAAAGGACACTACAAGTGCCATAACTTGTGTACGGCGATCACTTTGGTGCCATAACTTTTTTTCGGATCACTTTGGTGCCAAGTCGAAGAAAAAGAGATCACTTTAGTGCCAATTCGGCCGGAAATCCGACGTGGCATTTTTTATTAATTTTTTACGCCGACGTGGCTCGCCGGAGGCTGAGTCAGCGTGTACAGATCAGCATTTTTTATTTTAAATATTTTTTTTCCTTTTTTTTTCTTCTTTCCTTTTTCTTTTCTTTTCTTTTTTTCTTTTCTCCCTAGCCGGCCGGTTGACGGTGGCCGGCCGGCCACAGCGAAGCCCGGGAAGAGGCTGAGCGAGGGCGGCCTTGCCCATGGCCGGCGAGGGCGGCCGACCCTCGCGGCGACAGGCGAGGCCGGCCCACGCCCGGCTCAGGGCGGGCGACCCTCGCCGGCCCGGGCAAGGGCTTCCCTCGCCCGACGGCGGCGAGGGCGACCCTCGGCCGCCCTGGCGAGGGTCGCCCTCGCCCGGCCGGCGGGAAGCCCTCGCCCGGGCGGGCGAGGGCCGCCTCGCGGATCTGTGAGGCGACCCTTGCCGGCGTCGGGTGAGGGCGGCCCTCGCTGGGCCGGCGAGGGCCGGCCTCGCTTGTCGCCGGCGGGTCGGCCGCCCTCGCCGGCCATGGGCAAGGCCGCCCTCGCCCAGCCCTTCCCGGGCTTCGCCGGTGGCCGGGCCAGCCACCGGCAACCGGCCGGCGAGGGGAGAAAAGAAAAAAAAGAAAAGAAAGGAAAAAGGAAAGAAGAAAAAAAAAAGAAAAAAAATATTTAAAATAAAAATGCCGATCGTATATCGCTGACTCAGCTCTCCCAAGCAGTTCATGTCAAGGCCAAAATTAATAAAAAATGCCACGCTCTGATTTCCGGCCAAATCAAGCACTAAAGCCGATTTCTTTTCCTCCGACTCGGCACCAAAGCCGATCCGAAAAAGTTATGACCTAAAGCTGATCGCCGTACACAAGTTATGGCACTTGTAGTGTCCTTTTGCCCACTAAAAACATCAAGAATAAAAACTTGGATATATTAATCAAAAGAAAGAAAAAAAGAATAGAGAACAAATCTTGGGGGTACAACTCGGCGTTCCAACACTCCCCATCTACGAGTTTCTCGTGATCGAAGAAGACAAGACGTAGGCAAACGGAATTTCTTGTGATTTGCTTTGGGCTTTTGGGGGCTGTTCGCATAGTTTACTGCAAAAAGTCATGGGTATTTGGCAAAGTGACGGCATTTGACTCTTCAGCTCAATGGATCAGGCCCAATACTTATATTGAAGCAAAATTACTGTGTCTCATTTTTCAATTTCTTCCAAATATGTTTCAACATATAATAGGTCGTGCATTTCACTTTCCTAATGTGATTTTGCTTTGTTCTCAAATGGGTAAATCTTTCGTTGAAGAAT